ACTCACCATACTCAACACTTTCAATAGAGAGGATTACTCTCTTTACTCAATTTTGATTGCATATAGTTTATAACTAATTATGACTGGCTCATTTATATCTTTAAGTTCTATCTCTTGCTCATTTTGACCATTTGTGGCTCTTTTCGATGAACCTTTGTCGGTATTGAAATATTACACTTAATAGTAATCTGTTTAGTCTTCTCATTTTTCTCAAGGTATTTTTTTTTATGAAAGATCACATCTCTATTTTTATTATTTTTTTCTTCACTAGATCCCGTACCTATAGCCAAATTTCTCATTATCATATCCTATAAACACACATTTTATGGCTTTATTGTCAAGCTTTTGCCTTTATTCTTTCGGTATATCCATGAATACTTTACACCTGAAAACTTTCAAATAAGAGTATGAAGCATCTTTCTTTGTCTACACTTTTTTTAAATGTCAAAGCTCAAAATAATTGATGGTGATCTATTAAGCAAATAACAAGCCATGTTGATTACTTCATCCCATAATAACTTTGATAATTTTACCATCCTTAACATACATCTGACTTTTTTCACAATGGTGTGATTCATCATTTCAACTACACCATTATGCTATGGTGTTTCAAGTTCTGTTATTTCATACCTAATCTTATACTTTGAACAATATTCTTCAAAGTTTTTGGATGTGTATTCTTCACCATTATCAGTCGAAAACACTTCAAGGGTAACCTTGTTATATTTTTCACTATGGCATGAAATTTTTGAAAATACTATAATATATAGCTTTTGTTTTTCAACATATACATCCAAGTCTTACATGAAACATCATCAATTAAAGTAACAAAATACCTACTATCACCCAATGACTCAACCTTAATAGAACCATATATATTAGAATGAATTAATTTCAATATGTTTTCTTTGATTTGAAAGCTCTTACGAAAAGAAACTTTATGATACTTATCATGCAAACAATGATCATATGAATCGAGAGCCATACGTTTGGTCAAGAAATAAGAGAATGCCTTATCAAAACTTGTAACCTCTTTTCACTAATGTGTTCCACCTTTTTGTGCCATATATTTACTGAAGCATCATTCTCAACGGCATTTATCTGATTGTTGTTCAAGTGCATTCATGCCTTGTACATTGTACAGCATAATTTTTTTCTTACAACTGCCATATATCCTTTGAGAAGTTTCTACTGTCTATTCCTTTACTGACTTTCATATTTTTTCTTATTAAGGATATTAATAGCAATCAAGTTCATTTTCATATCTGAAATGTGTTTGACATCCCACAAAGTCAACATACAACTCATATTAGTTTGTGCAATAATATCATCGATTCCAACAATTTATAACACACTCTTGTTTCTCATCTTGATGTAATCAAAATCTCTTACTTTATAAGTGTAAACAACTCTCTCTTAGAAACACAATGATATGTCGTTCATATGTCAACTATACACTCAATTCGAGATCACCAACATAATTACAATCACCATGTGTACAAATTAAAATAACTGAATTACTATCTGAATTCACTATTGTAACATTGCTATCATTTGAACTCTTACTTTTTTTATCTTTTTTCTTGCTTTAAGATTTTGCAGTATCGCTTTATATAACTTGATTTAGCACAATGGAAAATATTTCATTTTATCTCTGGACTTAGATTTATATTTAGACTTATTACGACTTTGAGTTCTAACTTCTGTCGATGTTTCTATCCTTGTTCTCTATGACAATAGCTCAATTCTTAGAGTCTAAATCTTTTTGCTTTGCTTATTCATTAAGCATACTGTCTTTTATTATCTCCAATATCATCTTATAATCAGAAGTTGAATTAAGAATAATTATAACTAAAGTATTCTAGCTGTTTGGCAATAAACACAAAAGAAATAACACTTTTATTTCATCATTCATCTTAAGCTCCATAGTAATCATCTAATTAAATATATATTGAAAATTACTCAAGTGCTTTGTATTCGATCGTTCATCCATATACTATAAAGTTGCAAGCTTTTTAACAAGTATAACTTTATTTATAATTATTTTTCTCCCATACAATACTGTCAATTTTTTTCAAATAGTGTAAGAATCGGTATCATGTATTACATGATAGAACATACTGATATCAATCTATTTTTTTATTGTAGCCAGCGTCTCTCTACCTAGCTTCTTTTGGTTTTCATTTTTCACATATACTGGTTTAGTCAAATCACCAAATACTAGTTCATATAAATTTTTATAGTATAAACGATCTTTTATCATAGGATTCCAAATTGAATAATTTGATAGTGTCATTTTATCATGAAACTTATATTAACCTCCATAATCTCAAACAAAATTTACTTCTATCTTAGGTACTTTTGTATCGATGTCTCAAAATAACATTCGCTCTAATAGCACTTGTTGGACTTAAAGCAATAAACACAATAACATAAAAATAATATATCACAATAAACTTATAACAATAGATAACAATCAATAATCCAAAATGCAAAAAAATAAAATAAAATACACCAAAATTTATATGAAAAATCTTTCAGTGTAGAGATAAAAAATCATGGACCACAAGAAAAATCTTCACTATCAAATAATAGATATACAAAGTTTTAATTTAGTTAAAACTAAAACTAATCAACAACTAAAGAGATTATTAAAAAACCTCACCAAATAGATAACTTAATAAATACATCTTAAATTTATTCTTAAAAAACTTTAAATCTGATCTCCACTTTTTAAAATATCGAACACTAAATTATAAATTTACTGATAAAATTTTAACTTAATTAAACTACAAATTAACTTTCGTTCAATCAATTCTTTTTTTTTTTTTTATCTTTTTTAGTTTTTTTTTAATTTATTTTTCTCTTAGCTTTTTACGCCACACACGCAAGCCAAAATCGCCCATTTTCTTTTATTACATAAGACTTTCTTAAGATAGCTTTTAATACAAAGTCCATGACCTTTAATTTGTAAAATCACATGAGAATAGGGTTGGACCCCACATTCTTGACAAGTTTCTTATCCAACAAAAGTTGCAAGAGCTGTTTTCGCATTGAGGACAAATAAGATAAGTAAGCTAATTAATATATATATATATATATATTCTTTTTTACAGACTTCTTCCATTTTATTTTTTTGTTTATTGGTTTTTTTTAATATTTTAAAATTGACTTTTTTACATTTAAATATTTTATATTTTAAAATTAATTTTTATGATTTTTTGTACTTTTGATATTAAAAATTATGAAATTTTAATTTTATAAAAAATTTAAAATTTAATATTAAATATTAAAATAAAAAAATTTTAATTCCATAAAAATCAATAACACTCAAATAATTTGTGTATGAAGGAATATAATTTTAAATTATACAATAAGAAGTAATTAAGATCCGAATTCAAGTTATAATCATTATAGTATCCTCAAAAAAATTTCTCCTAAAAGATAAGAGTGCAAAAGTTGAAATCTAAAACAGGAGAACAACAACAACAATTCAATTGATGACTGAAAAAAACTTGGAATCTTATAGTAGCTAGAAAATAATACACAATTTTGTTGGCATCTTCATCACCTAATTTAATACAGCCAAGTTGCTTGAATTTCAAATCTAAAACAATTAAAATTTTGTCATTGTGCTTACATTAATTATATATATAAATAATGTACTAATCGCAAAGAAAATAAAATCTCGTATGCAGCGAAAAGTACATGACACCAATACCAGATAAGGAATTGGATAGGATTCCATAAAAAATAATTGAAGAATTGGGTAATCAAAAATTTTATTAAATTTTGATAAGCACTAAAATTATAAACTTATACAATGATAACTTCAATGTTTAATTGATATTTCCAATAATTTTTTAAGCATCTAATTTATAGTTATTTTTTTTCAACTACCATTTTTGGAACTACTTGCCCACTTTTTTTAATGTTATGTATTGCTGAAGAGATAAAATGGTCAAAATTTGGGGGTTCCAAATAAAAAAAAAAAAGTGGTCCTAATTTGTGGTAAATCAAAAGGACCACGATGGCCAGGTGCCCCAATTTGTTCAAACAAATGCACCAAAAATCTTTTTATGTGCATAACTAAAAGCTCAAACAACTGTGAAGATCAAAGATGGTTAAAAACCACCATATTAATTGGAGAGTTTGTGACTAATCCCACTTTATTTTTCTTAAAAAAATTAAAACTTTAATTTGAAGTTTAGTCATTGAAATGGGGTTGATAAAAAGAAAAATACAATGTCATCCAATGCCCTTTTTACAAGAGAAAAGAAAGTTATATGATCATAAGTTTCACATCAATGCTCTTTTGTTCAAAGTTGAGAGTATAGTGATTTCATGCTTGGGATATGAATTCATCATTGCATTATAATACTTAGAACATTGTTATCAAAAGGGACACTCCAATAATTATAATTATTATTAAGAATTTTTAGATTTTCAATCATAAAAGTTAAAAATAAATGAATAAGAAAGTGAAAACATATTTAATTTTGTCATTAAATATAAAAACTTTATTAATAGAGTCAACATTTTATACAAATTGTAATTTAATGAAATTTGTCAATAATTATATAATTTGTTGCTAGAGTACTAATTTTTTTAATCTTAATGATTAATATTTAAATTTTGATAATTTTAAATAAAAAATTTTAATGAAATTTTTTATGCAAAATCTACATAATTAATTAATGGGATAATTTCAGCTAATTATAGTTTGAGATACTATATTTTAATTATTTGATCTTGTAAACTTCCAAAAAGTATATAGGTAAAAATAGAAAAGAAAAAAAACAAGATTTTCTCAATTTCATTAATGGGACTGTAAAAAATAAAAATATATATATATTAGTAAAAAAATCGAATTTTCGAAAGTTGCGTGTGCGAAGCATTGGTGATTGGTCCACGGGCAGACAACAAAAAATCAGTGCTATAAACAACAGACACAGACCATAATGTTTTACTTCTGAAAAACCAAAAAAAAAAAAAAAAAAAAACCCAAAATTATCAAATATATATAAAAAAGACTCTCATTTGCGTTTGCATTTGCAGAAAAGAACATGGTCACCATAACCATTTGATGCAAAACAAGTCTCCGTTTTATTCCTTCATTTTTCCATGTGCTGGGTTTAAAACCAGTAAGCTTCGCTGCTCCTTTGGCACTTTGTCTTATTATTGTTATTTTATTGGTTTGAGCACAACCCAGATTTTATTTGTGGATTTTAGTGATGTGTAAAGACACTAAACTTGGAAATCTCAACTATTTGATTTTTTTTTCTCTTTGGGTTTAGTCTTTTTGGTTTTCTTTTTTCTTTTGATTGGTAATGTTTGAAACTTGATTGGTGCTTTTTTTTTTGTTTGTTGTTTATGTTTCATGAATACAAATGGGAAAGTTGGTTTTTTGGAAAAGCTTAGTTTGACATTGCTTCGAAAAAGATGAAACTTTGTTGGGGACATTGGGTGCGGGGAGGGAGTTGTTTCTTTATACTTTTCCCTGTCTCATTTTCTGGTTGCTTTATTAGAAGCTATACAAAATTGAAGATTTAAAATTTTTTGGTTGTGTAAAATCCAATTGAAAAATGGTGGATTTGCCTGTAATTTGGGAGGAAGTTTTATTTGATTTGCTGTTCTTGTCTCATATTTTGGTTGCTCTTTGATAGTTATTTTGCATCAACGATAAAGATAGTTATTTTCTGCATTATTCAGCTTTATATTTGATTGAAATTGATAGTATTCTCATTAAAAATCTGGGAATTTTGCTTGCTTTCTTAGATGATCATGTTATTAGGAAAGGTAGTTTTCAGTAAACCCTGGTTCTATTTGATTGTGATCCTCCCCTTTGCTTCGTTAAAGATGTAGCAAATTTTGTTATAAGTGTGTTAGTGGAAGGAATTAGACAAGAAAACGTGTCTGTTCTTGTTGTGCGTGGCAATCTGAATTCTTTGATTGGTGGAAGAATGACCACTTTTTAATATGCTTTTGCTTTCTCCTTGTTTTTCAGCTTGGTGAATATGTCCAACATGGAAACAGTTTCTTATTTTTATAGAACATACTTCCCGATATTGGAATTGTGTATCTTCTCTTAGAAAGATTGAAAACCATTATTCGTTATTAGAATGTTGCTTTGTAAAGTACTCAGTACTGTTTCATAAATTCTTGCTGTTTATGTATTATTTTCACTGATCACAAAGTGTTTGGCAAAAGTTTTGTTTTTTAAACTTTGTATCCATCTTTTTGGAAATTTGATGAACAAGAAATAAGAAGGAAGAAGGCTTCTTACATGAAAATTGAGATGTTCTAAGTGGAACTTTAATATACAATCATTGCCATGGATATTTGTTGCCCTCTTGGAACTCAATAATGTTGTATCTTTAGTGTGCTGTAGCTAGATTTTTCTTTAAAAAGGCCAAGTACATTTGAAAATGCTACCTGATACTCATTTGGTTTTTATTGCAATATGATTTGTAGCATTAGCAAATTGAGACTCTTCATGAAGTTTAACCACTTAAATGAGAATCTGATTTAAATCTTGTTAGAGCTAGTTACCAAAAAGCTACTATAGGTTGCCATAGTTCCCCTAACCTGCCAAAATTTAATGTTGTGGATGAGAACAAGTCTTTTTAGTAAGTCTTTTTTGTTTCCATCAAATAGTTCACATATTATGCTCTGCTTGTCTTATTTTCTTCTGGATGTGCAACTGCATATGGTTGTGTAATTTGCTTTTAGCATGTTTTGCTTAAGGTATCTTTCTTTCTACAACAACAATAAACTAAGCCTTGTATTCCATAACTCTGGAGTTGGCTGTATGGAAGGCTAAAAAAAGGAATCGTGTTCGGCCTTAGTTTTGAATCTTCTTGCGCCACTCATTTAAAGTATCTTTCTTTCTGATGACATCTAATTTTTATCCTCTATTTCAGGGAAATAGAGAGTGAGGCCTCTCAAAAATAGATCAACACAAAAAAATTAAAGTAGTTGACTAGAGATATTCCAGATTTGGAGTAGCAATGGCTCCTGGAGGCAGTGTTTGCAAAGAAGTTGTTGAATCTCATCCCTCTGTTGCGGATTACAACATTGCTACAACAAAATCCGAGAGTAATACTACAACGATGAAAACTGCTGTTAGTTTTGTTAGAAAACATGGAATTCATTCAAACAATGGTGTTTATGAGCTCCTTGAGTGTCCTATATGCACGAATTTGATGTACCCACCAATTCACCAGGTTTGTTCACCAATTGACCAGGTTAATTAAAAATTTTAATTAATCATTGTGCTTGGAAAGTGATTTGAAAGGGTTTTAGAAGTTTTTTTCAAGACATAGGCCCCTTTGGTTTTAAGTGTTTATGTAACTGCTTCCTTTACTAATTAGTTTCTATGGGGATTTTGACTTAGAAATTTTGTTCTTAACCTCTTTCTATATTCAAATTTGTAAAAATTACTCAGTTACTAAAATTTTTATATGTTGCATTCAATCTTCTATTGCAGTGCCCAAATGGACACACTTTGTGTTCAAACTGCAAGATTAGAGTGCACAACTGTTGCCCGACATGCCGCTATGATCTTGGTAATATAAGGTGTTTAGCTTTGGAGAAAGTTGCAGAATCCTTGGAACTCCCTTGTAAATACCAAGGTTGCCATGATATCTTCCCCTATTACAGCAAGCTTAAGCATGAGCCACACTGTCGGTTTCGTCCCTACAATTGCCCTTATGCGGGGTCTGAGTGCTCCGTCACAGGTGACATCCCAACTCTTGTTGCACATCTCAAGGACGATCATAAGGTTGACATGCATGATGGATGTACCTTCAACCATCGATATGTGAAATCAAATCCACATGAAGTTGAAAATGCCACATGGATGCTTACTGTAAGTTCGTTTATGCTACAGTACATGACAATCAAGTGTTACCATGCTTGTCCGATAATAGTTATTTGTGAATTGTGATAAACATTATGGTTGTAAAGTCTTGCTCACAGTTCTTTATTTTCTAGTTGTCAAAAGAAATTGAAAACCATTTAAGTCACTTGAGTTCTTACAATTACCAAGGAGATTATGTGGTTTCTGTTCAGACTGTTAAAGTTATGCTAAGTGCTGGTTTTAAAGTGCAAATCTTATGCTTCTGAAAGGATTCCTTTGACAAGTTATCGAAAATTATTTCATAACAATTACTGCTGCTTTTTAAACAATATATCCTCGACTTACTTTTAACTTCATATGCAATCTATTGTAATGTTTTTATCTACTGTTGTTCTGGTCAAATCAAATCTTGTCTTGCTATGATAATGAATTCTAACATCCTGTCCAGGTGCTCAATTGTTTTAGAAGACAGTTCTGCTTGCATTTTGAGGCCTTCCAGCTTGGGATGGCACCTGTGTATATGGCCTTTTTACGTTTTATGGGTGATGATAATGAAGCAAAAAAGTTCAGATACAGTTTGGAAGTCGGTGCAAATGGTCGTAAGCTAATATGGCAGGGGATTCCAAGGAGCATCCGAGACAGTCATAAGAAAGTTCATGACAGTCAGGATGGACTTATTATCCAAAGGAATCTAGCTCTATACTTTTCCGGTGGCAATAGGCAAGAGCTGAAGTTGAGGGTAACTGGCCGTATATGGAAAGAAGAATGAGATAGGAAACCATGGAGAATTGAGGTGATTTTGTACAGTTTCAAAAATTCTGAGTCTCATTGGCAAACCAATGAAGCTTTCGTTTTGCTGAACGGGGCTTTCTTTTGTATTTACATGTTGTATTGTGACTGGGTTACGTCGTTTACAGTCCAATCCATCTGCTGACCTCGCCCCATCTACTGAATGTTTAGTGTAGGAAATGATGATTTATATTAGTCAACTTGGTTGCTCAAAGTTTATTGCAGTCGTATGTATGAAACGTTCCTTTTGAATCCTTCAAGGCTTGTGCCATCTCTTGGTTGCAATTGCCGTTGGCTTCATGTATTAAACCACTTCATCATTATTATCAAATTCTATTTTGCTCATCCATCCTGTTTTTTGCCTATTGTTTTCTACTTTTTTGTCCAAACTCAAGATTATCGTCCTGAAAAGACCTTTTTCTACATTTTTAATAATCAGAGTGCAATAGCTAGTTGATGATACTAGCTTTCATCGATGCTGAGAAGAGTGCACAGGAAATTTGCATGTAAAGTAAAACTGACTTTCAAGATTATCAGTAGGACTAACACGTCAAATGTCTTAAAACTTTGCCTAACTCTGGAACACTGGAGATGATGTGCTTGTCTTCCAGACAGACACGAATAATCTGGTAATTGATGTGATGCTTAGGACTTGAAGCCACTTATTTAATATTACAAACATCAGACGAATTATAATATTATAAAGTTCATATGTTCCCATCCAGTTTTGAATATCAAACCCACTTATTTAATATTCTAAAACCATTTGTTAATCATTAAAATGCAAGAACAATTCCCCTTTCTTAATCATTAACAAGTCATATTCCAACCAAGAAACCTCGGACCGTTGACTTGGAAATATTGAAATTTTGCAATGTGCTTCATCCCTGTCGTTGCCAATTAATAGGAAACATGGACAGTCCAGATTAAACTGATATATCCAACAAAAAGGAAGATCACGCCCGTCACGATGTTTACTGATATGTACAATTTGGACGAAGGGAGGATTCGACCCAGCCAGGCTTATATATCAAACCCACTTCACCATTTTGATCATTGATCATGCAAAATTGCAAATCTTAGACCATTAGATAATCATAAAAAAGAAAAAAAATACATTAATAGAAAATAGAAAATATAGATTCAGTTTAGCCATGTGCAAACGTGAATGCACGTAGAAGTAGGTTAGTTTTAAGATTAACGGTTAAACTATGAGAGACCCGAGTTTCTCGCAACACAGGGGAAACATGTATGTCTGTTCCAATACAGAGCCATTACAGAGCAAGGGGGAATAAACCGAAAAAAAGAAGAAAAAGAAAAAGAAGTTGAAACAACCTAGCAAGAATTCTTTCACTTTCCTGTTTCCTATAAAGATTTTGTTTCTGTTGTTTTCTCTGTTATCAATCTTCCCTCTATCTGTCAATCCAGCCTTTCATTGCATTTTTTTCCCTTCTTTGGGTTGATCAGATCACTGGGTTTCAGGTATGTCTCTACTGCTTTAATGCTGTCCCTCTTTTTTTCTTTCTTTTCTTTTTTTTTTTTTTTCATTTGAGATATTGGTTCATTTGGTTTGGTTTTGCAATGAAATGAATCATATAAGCATTGACAATTGGTAATGATCATTGCTTGTGTTTATATGTTGCTGAAATGTATTCTAATCACATTGATGCTTTCAAGATCAATCGTTCTAAAGAAAAACCCAAAGTTGCTTTTAAAGTCTTAATTGTTTTTACTACGTTTTAGGAAAATTCCAAGGGGCCTAAATAACCTTAGTCTCCAAAGGATATATGATAACCGCGAGGCTAAGCTTGAATTGTTCCTTGAATGATAATATAATATTCTTTCATTTTTATTTCCCATGCAGGAAAAAAATTGATTTTGCATTGAATTGATAAGAGTCATTTTCCTGCATGAAAAATTGACATTTTAACATCCTGAGCTATGTTCTGCTGTGGAGGTGTGGAGGAGGAACCCGACGGTCCACCTACAAACCAGTATACAGCCCCACCTAGAGAAGGAATTCAATTCGGTGGTGCTGGTAATTGAGTTTTTCCTTCTTCTTAGGCCTCAAGAGTCAGGACATTGATTTTCAAATCCTAAAAATGAAATGTTTTCTTATGTTTTTAAACAGGCAGTGGAAGAGGAGAGCCAAGGACTTCCAATGTGGTTAAAAGTGGAGCTCCTCAAAAAGTTCTACCTATTGAAATTCCAGCTATTCCATTAGATGAGTTAAATAGGATGACTGGCAACTTTGGTACAAAGGCTTTGATTGGAGAAGGTTCTTATGGCCGAGTTTTCTATGGAAAGTTAAGTGATGGTCAGCCTGCAGCAATAAAGAAGCTGGATACTGGTTCTTCACCAGAACCAGATTCTGACTTTGGAGCACAGGTGAGAGTTAGGAACCCTTTTCTTTCCCCTATTAAAGTGATCTGTCTAAATTTAAGTTTGATCCCATGTTATTGTTACAATGATTTTGCAGTTATCAGTAGTTTCAAGACTTAAACATGAACATTTTGTGGAGTTGATGGGGTATTGTTTGGAGGCAAATAACAGAATCTTGGTATATCAGCATGCGACAATGGGTTCTTTACATGATGTATTACATGGTATGCTCAGTTTCATCATTCATCTTTGAGCTTTTCTTTTGTATACAGTTTGAAATATTTATTCATTTTCATTATTATTTTTTTATCAGGGAGGAAAGGTGTACAAGGAGCTGAACCAGGTCCGGTTCTCACTTGGAACCAAAGAGCAAAAATTGCCTTTGGTGCTGCAAAAGGTCTTGAATATTTACATGAGAAAGTTCAGCCTTCGATAGTTCATCGTGATGTCAGATCAAGCAATGTCCTTCTTTTTGATGACTTCTTGGCCAAAATTGCCGATTTCAACTTGACAAATCAATCTTCCGACACCGCAGCTCGACTGCATTCCACTAGAGTCTTGGGTACCTTTGGGTACCATGCCCCAGAGTAAGTCTTATAATTTAGCATTTTAAATGAACAGATTTTCTATAATTACCTACGCTAGCCCCCCCATCGTGCCATACCTTATGCATTCATGCATAGACCATCTTTGACTACAATATTACCACAAAGTAATGAAAGTTTTTGCTTCAACATTCTTTCTGTTAAGAGACTTGAACATATTTTTTCCTAATACATTACAGTTTTCCGCTGTCTTGTTGTCTTCCCATGACTCATTTTAAATTTCTTTCTGTGTAGGTATGCTATGACAGGGCAGATAACACAGAAAAGTGATGTATACAGTTTTGGAGTTGTTCTTCTTGAGCTCCTGACAGGGAGAAAACCAGTAGACCATACAATGCCCAAAGGACAACAGAGTCTTGTTACATGGGTGTGTTTCTTTTCCTATTTGTATTTGGGGCCATTTAGACGGGTCTCTAACACATATTCAATGATGCAGGCAACTCCAAGATTGAGTGAAGACAAGGTCAAGCAATGTGTGGATCCCAAGCTAAACAATGACTACCCACCGAAGGCAATTGCCAAGGTAGTTGTCTCTTCTGCTACATTATTTTTCTATGACTTGTTTTTTTCAGGTTGCAGCTAATTTTTTGTACTATTTATTTGGATATCTCAGCTAGCAGCAGTAGCGGCACTTTGTGTCCAGTACGAGGCAGACTTCCGGCCAAACATGACAATTGTTGTCAAAGCTCTTCAGCCTCTTCTACATGCAAAACCAGCAGGACCAGAGTCTCAAGCATAATATATATCTGACCTAAAAAGCAGTAGTGAGGCTTGTGTAGTTGTAACCCTTTCTTAATGTTTTGTAATCTTTTTACATAATGAAGTCAATTTTATGATCAAATATACTCCCTATAAGGGTTTACTTTTGCTTGATATGGTATTATTTCTCGAGATTCAATGTTACCACATTAAACAGATATATGATATGCATAAATTAATTATTTTTCGAAATTCAATGTTACCACATTAAACAGATATATGATATGCATAAATTAAGACTTAAAATAATATATTCAGTTACTTATACTTTATCTTTATAAAATTAATTGATGAGAGAGTTTATTTATTTGAAAAGTTATTTTTTATTTAGTTTATCATGGGCACCTAGCACTTTCAATTATTTTCAGCTTATCAAAGGAACAATTTAAAGCAATGGTTTTTTTTTTTTGGTACTGTAATTTAGAACAATGTCATGATTAATTATTTAATTGGATCAATAAAAATTTCAAATTACTTAAATCAAGATAAAAGGATTACAATGAAATCTGTTTAGAGTTAATAGGATTTTTTACCATTGTTTTATTTGAAGTAGAGAAAGAAAAAATTGGGAGAGTGCCGTATAAAGTCGTAGAATTTTCTGTATGAAGTCAGTTTTTTTTTTATTATTATTAATGAAGTTTTGTTGGTATGAGATTTTGTTTTCATATCTTGATTGCTCCAGATTCTGATCCATCTTAAACATGGTTTGCTTCAGATCAATATTAGCATCCTTTAATCCTTTCTTTACATTGATTTCTTGAGCAACAAGCAATTGGATTTGCACGCCATATTTGATGCTTTTTTGCAAGTCCCAACTCCCAATTGACTTTGAATTTGATTTGTTGACGACCCATTGGAGCATCTTAGAAGAAAAGTGTAATAAACAATAGCCTTGGCAATCAGAATCTAGTTGAGTATTGGTAGAACATAGATGAAAAATTCTTTTCGGATGATTCGCAATTAAGCCTTTTCCAAAATTACAGGCGAGCTTAGGACATATTTCTAGACATTGCTTAACCTGGACTATAGATGCAAAACTGCAGAATTGCTTGGTTGGTACTTGGTACAGTACAGTAGATTCTGGAGACAATCAAAATGGAAACTCGTATGGCTAAAGAAACAAAAGTAACTGGTACTAAAATTTTACCACTTCATTTGTGAACAAAATTTGGATAATCCCAAAACTTTGCTTCAACAATTCAAGCACAGAGTTAAGTACAAATCCAAAAATTTAACTGTTTGACTTAGTAAACTTCAAAACGGCTAGATAAAATCCAGGCTCATCTACAAATTCAGTCATCTCAAAGCAATGGTCAAGTTTGCCATTATAACGTCAGGGAACTGTTTTTTTGTTGCTGCTCTAGCACTTCCCTCACTTGGGGCTGGCTAATCACCGGTCTTGCACCTTTACAAGTAACACTCAGACAGAATCTCATATTGTACAGGAGGCAAGGCAACCGACGAAACATGGCTTATACGGTTATAACTTATACCCCCTTATCTAAGCCTTTTTTTTCCCTCCCCTTTTTCTGGTGAGCATCTAATTAAGATATTGTAATGGTGAAAATGTTTTCTTTTTTGTATTTGAGATCAGAGATTGAGTCTTAATCACTGAAATCAAGAGTCAAAAAATTTTAACTCTACAAGTATTTCTTGCCAGAAATCAAATGTGAAGCGAAATGAACAAAAAATATTTACTTAAAGTTTACCAAATATCCAACAGGATTACCTGGTGAACAACGTTTTGCCAGCGCCACGAAAATCTGGTCAAGATTGAACGGCAAAGCAGGCAGAAAATAGAGAAATACAACATCCAGTGGTGACCATTTTTCCGGCACATATATCAATTCTCATTGCCAGCATTTGACTTCGTCATATTTTTCTGTAATTCCAGCTAAGACAAAAAATAGAATCATGGACTACAAAGCAACAATTATTATCACATACTCTTTATTTATTATTAATTTTTTAAAACATGCTCTTATGGGATAATTATTTTTTCAATTTATTTACCGAAAATCAGGTTGTGAAAAAAAAAGGACAAAATTGATGGGAAATTTCATTATCCAAACTAGGCTAACCAGCCCAATTTCAAATGGGCCAAATCATAAATTCAAATGAAAAACAAAAGCAGAACGGTCAAAGCCCGACTTTCAGCCCATAACGGCAACTTATCAAGTTTCGAATATTTCATGACTACCAACGAACCTTGGATCGGACATTTTCAATTTTCTTCCCAACGAATTTTCCCGACAAGACATTTTCATTTCCCTCACTTTCTTTTCAAAATGGCAACACCCATATTCCTGGCTCTTAATCTACCGAACCAACTCTTACACATCCCTTAAATCCTCAATTGATAAAGCAGCCAAGAAACTCGAAACCATGAAAACCGACCAAAACCCAAACAAGTTATCCAACAAAAAATCCAAAACCAAGAAAATCGACCGTGTCGAATCCAGCTGTGACCTTTCTTTATTCAAGTTCTAATCTGGGCTGTCGTGGCCCTTGTTTTGATCGTCGCTTTCGGGTTCTTGAATTCGCTCTTCGAAGGGAATTGTTATGAAGATGAGTCATAGAGGGCTACAAGGGGAGCATTCGACGAATTGTTCGATGGTGTTTCTGTATTTGTTGTGTTCGATTAGTGTCGGGACTAATTTGCAGAAGTTTTTGGGGTATTCGCCGCCACGAGGAGCTGCTGATGCTGGGTTGTTCCCATGACTAGTTGATTCAATTTTGGTTGATCTTTGGAGGGGATTTTAAGGAACCGGGTATGTGAAATTTTTTTTTTTTAATTTTAGGTACAGTTTCTCTAATGAGAATCATGATTTAGTTAATGGGCATTTGCAATTTTTTATTTTTATGTGATAATTAGCGACAATAACTGGTAACATATTTGAATTTTTGTTTACTAGAAGTAAATTGCGAGTGATTGAATTCTTGATTGAATTAAATGATTTTATATGCAAAAAAAGTAGAGCCTTTACTGTCTGATTGAACTTCTTAGCTCTAATAACCTGTAGGTTCTGTCATGCGTAGATTGGAATACTGCATGCTTGATTGTCATCTTTCTCCAATCTATTGAGAATGTTACAGTGAAAAGTTTGAAGTGGATGTTCCTCCAGTTTTTTTATTGAAACTTTCATGGATCCAATGTCTGGCCCCCTCTTACCTTAATCATATCATGATCTGGAGTACTTTGTGTGAACTGATATTAGATCCACCATACATCCTTTGCTCAGAGATTGGGCATTATGCGTAGAAAATGCCCTTTTGTTTGGGAATGAAGTAAATCTCATTGTGTTCTTTGTTCTTTTTACCTTCTAATGTTCTCGCGATTCTATTGGAAGCTTGAAGGAGGATGACCTCTATCATGTGTAGAACTTACTGCTTGCAAGATAGAACTGAGGAATACATCATACTTGAAAGCAAAAAATACTTATGAATAGTCATCGAACTTTGAAAATAAGGTTTAGATTTGGCATGCGAAAATTTGTGAAATAAGCTGTTTTGTTTTATACTTTGTTGGGTTTAGTCTACAATAGTGCTAGTGTTGCATACTGTAGATATATTCACCCGATTCTTCTCTGAGTTCATTTAGTACTCTGGAATTGGGTGCAAATGGATCCAAGCTAGGATTTCTCCATGAAATTTTCCTACAAGCTACAATTTTATTTATCGTAGTACGCATGTGCTAGAGGCATGGATAAGTTCTGTGTATAAATGCACAAGATGACGATCCCAGAAGACCAGTTTAAGCAGCATTGTGTAACTTTAGTGCATTGGGGACACGAGGGGAATAACTTTTATTGCATTCCAAAATGGCATCAGCGACTACATTTATGTGATCAGATAAGACTTGGAATATGTTATATCCTGGATCTTGTTGTTTGAATGCCAAGTAAAATCAATATTTTGTCAACACAGAAAGGAACTTATCCTTGTAAGATAGGATGCATATTGCAGCGAAAGGAACTTATCACATAGGCAGGCAAGCAGAAACCCATGATCCCATGGATTGACATCTTCCATGGGGTATGTATGAGTTAGTATAAATAAGAGGACACCGTTCCGGTTCCAGAAGCCTATATATGTAGACCAGCTCTCATACGATCCTCTAATGGAATGAAAATATCAGACATAAACTCACTGCTACCAATCCAAAATCAATCCTTTTTCATTGGCAAATGCATATGCATGCTCTTTTTTACTCATAGCAACTGCAAAGATGTTTGATCCCTAAAGACAAAGACATGCTCTACATGAACAGAAGTTTTAATATATTTTATGAATGAATTCAATTTATTTTCACTTACAGATGCTTATAAAGGTTTTCCCTTGTTAACATATAATACTAATAAGAAATCAAATAAGAAGTAAAATTCTAATTTTTTATAAAAATAATTTTGAAACCCAAAAAAAAAAAAAATGGAAAAAGAGGTAAGTGCCTGCCCTAACCCAAAGTTCACTCAATGAAGAGAACCCCAGAAACCGAAGAGCTCTAGTCTTCTAGATCCTTCCAAAATCCTAATCTTTTAAAATTTTTTAAAAAAATTAGTTAACTATTTTTCTTCGCCCCAATTCCACCGGACGACCACATTCTAGACGCTTCCTTTGACCCGGAACCCTCCAGAGAAACCCTTCCCTTTTCTCTTTGCTTTTTTAAAACTTTCCTTTCAATATTCAAAGACCCCCAGACACAGAAGCCAACCCTCTCTCTCAATTTAAGCAAACCCTTTTTTTCTTCTTCTCTCGATGGCAAAGTACGGCGAAGGCGACAAGCGTTGGATCGTGGAAGAAAGAACCGATGGTGCCAACGTCCACAACTGGCACTGGGCAGAAACCGATTGTCTCCCGTGGTCTAAAACCTTCTTCAACATATCCCTTTCCAATCTCACCATCGTTGATGGTGAAGGCAATCTCCACATCAAGACCAAGAAGGTCGAAAAGGTCGACGGCGAAGCCTACGTTAATGTCCGGAAGGGTAAAATTATTCCCGGATATGAAATCAGTTTAAGTTTGTCCTGGGAAGGCAAAGCCACAGATGGAGAAGGAAATACCCTGTTGAAAGTTGACGGTAACGTTGAGATTCCGTATATTTCAGATGAGAACGCTGACGAGGATCCGGAAGTTAAGGTGACGGTTGAAGATGAAGGACCCATCGGGAAAACGTTGAAGGAAGCGATGCTGGCCAAAGGTAAGCCTTTGGTTTTGGAGAAAGTGAGGGATTATGTTAGAGCTATGGCCAAAGGTGGCCCCGCTAAAGATGAACTAGAAGCCAAGAAATTGTCCCCCAAAAATAGTAGTAATACTAGTAATGCAGCTTTGGTGTCTAAAGAGAAAATTGGAGTGGAGAAGGAAGCGAAGAAGGATGTGAAAAAGGAAGGGAAAAAAGGGTTTAAGACAATTACCTTGTCGGAGAAGTTTAGCTGTAGAGCTAAAGATATGTATGAGATTTTGATGGATGAGAATAGATGGAAAGGGTTTACTCAGAGTAATGCTAGGATAAGTAAAGAAGTTGGTGGGCAGTTTAGTATTTTCGATGGGTCAGTAACTGGGAGTAATCTGGAGTTACAAGAAGGGAAGTTGATTGTTCAGAGATGGAGATTCGGGAGTTGGCCTGATGGGGTTGAGTCTACAGTAAGTTTTTTGGTTTTCTATATTGACTGTTACTAAGATTTTGGGATTAGAGTGTCGTTCAAATGATGATTTTTTTCAAATGGGTTCTGATTGCAGGTAAGACTTGTTCTTGATGAGCCTGAGCCTGGGGTTACTATAATCAAACTCACGCATACAGATGTTCCTGAAGAGGACAGGTTGGTTTTTATTGGTTCTGGGTTGTTTTATTTTGTAATATGGCTAAGCTGTTGCTGATTGAATTGGCTTATTTATTTTGGGTTTATGTTGATTTGTGATGCAGATATGGGAATGCGACTGTGATGGAGACCACTGAGAGAGGATGGAGGGATCTCATTTTCAATAAGATACGGGCAGTTTTTGGTTTTGGAATATGATTTATCTTATTTCTAAATAATAAAATAGTCTTTTTTTTTTAATCTTTTCAAATTGTTGAATCTTATCAAACTTGTTTCTTTCGGCCCTTTAAACTTATGACCTTGACAATGACGAAAATGTTGTTTTACAATAACTTTGTTTCTGGCAGTGTGCATTGTGTCCCCTTGAGGACCTTTATCCTTGGTGTATAACTCTGGCACTTAGTTGGTACTATTTTCTCTGGATAGTATGTGATCAGGTTGATGTAGTTTGAATTTGATTACTCAGCTCCTTTTTCTTATTTGCGAGATATGTTTTCAAGCTAATTACTAGTCCAGTTAATGTAGTTTTTGGATAACCCATTTCTTTTGGAAGGATTTGGATTGGTATTCATTTTAATATCTGGAGCATGGACCGTGGGGTGGTGAGTATGTAGTTAGGTATTCTCTTTGGTTGATTAGTTTGAGAATACAATTATAAGCATGACCTTGTTTCTGCTGTTGTAGCGGCCATGATTATATAGGAGTTTGTTATATGGCATTCGTTGTGCTTTTAATGAAATTTCTGTTATGGTTAATATGTTTAATTTTTCAAACTGAACCACTTTCTTATTATGCAAATTATGTTGGCACTTGGAAGAGTGTGAAGAAACATAGTACGCCATGTAATATAGAGCATGCTTAGGTACGGGTACAACAAAGCAATTATGAGCTTTGAAGAGGAGAACGGTTTGGATTGTTGTTTGTCTTAAAATATCTTGATCCTTAATGGGTAGTATATTGTAATGGAGATTGTTTCTTTGGATGTATATTTGTTAAAGGCTTGTAAGTAATGAGTAAAAGATAGCTTCACATACAGGGAGTAATATGTTTTTTAGTGCTAACAATTGCGTGGGCCGTTGAATGAACCTCATCTAGATGCTTTGATGGGGTGATCGACTATATATATTAGCGAAGCATTCTTATAGTGTTCATACCAAGATGATATCATTAGTAAAGACAGATTAAAGCATCAATTCGTACTACTAGTGTCATTGTTAGCATGTTTGCATCATTTCATTTGTTTGATGAGTAAAAAGCTGGTCAAAGTCCTATGTGTTTTAGGGTTGGACATTGATTAAGTTCATTTGGCTGTTGAAACTTCAATTTCTGCCCTGTATCGGGATTGTTTTATCATTTTCCTTGTCCTCACCCTTCAGCCTTCTTAAGAATTATCCTTTGCACTCTCTTTGCGTTATATAATTCTGCATTAGCACAGGGTCGGAAATTGTTTTAGAGCTCACATGATGAAATCTTTTTCCTGTAAAATTTGGCCAAGTTTGTAATAAAGGTATCTCTAGGCTGGACATAACATGAGTTCATCCGGGGCAAAGACATTCCATTTAATTTTATTTTAATTGAAAATGTCAAAGCGCTTATGCCGGGAAACATGATCCAATCACTTTATAGATTGGTTTCTTTTGCATGGTTCCTCTTTTCCAAGCCTTGAAAATCTTCTAGAGAAAAGAAAAAGTATTTTCTCCTTACCAAATGTAAAAAGTTCATGTCATCTTCTTCATTTGTTCTACTGCTAAAGTGTTATCATGATCTGCATGCAAAGGCACCCCCAAATAAATGAATGTTCAATCAGACATTAAAATCTCCTCTGTTTGATGTCTTAATTTATGAGAAATTAATCTTCATTTAGTTTTAGGTCAATCTGAAAAGGGGGCCATTGATAACAATTGATAATTTAGTCGCTCTTCAATCTATCAAGGGTGCAATCGATCTTGGATATAGTTGTTTTTCATCTCCAATATTGAGTAAGGTTGTTTGTCATAATTTAGAAAAAGCAAAAGCAGAATGAAAACTCCTGTTTCATGTTTCGTATGATCAATGGCATGTATCTATATAGATCATGTCGTGCAGTAATTGTTTTCCTAATATACACCATCCTGAAAAGATAACTAGGTAAGCGACCCTAGCTTCTTCCTTTTTTTTTTTTTTTTCAATAAATTGCTGTTGGAACTTTAGCTCTTTAGTTCATAGATCAGGGATCTACGGTGCTTCTAATCACTCAAGAAGTCAAGGAACTTTAATCCTTTGCTTATGAATTTTTTTATTTCTAGGTACTTACTCCAAAAAATAGTGATACTGTTAGATCATGCTGTAAGGGCCATATACTCTTTAAAAAAAAAAAAGTTAAAAAATTCGGATCCAGATGATCATGTCATTCCATGTTTTTGGAAGGCTAAGTTTCTTTAGAGGTGGGTTTCTACGGTAGTAGCATCAGATCCATGGATGTAGAATTTTGCCTTTTTCTCCATTTCTCTAGGTTTGGGTCTTGGGGGATCTTCCACTTTGTATATTAGTAATAGTTCTAGTTGCTTTTTGTTCTGTAAAGTTACACAACTTATATTGAGCTGTGAAACCATGATTAAAAAGTCCACCAACATTTCCTTTCTTCGACAAAGCAATGGTCGGTGAGGGCCAGGTGGCATGGCCAAGATCGAGTGAATCTATTCCTTTGGTGGCTTATGCTACAAGTTAATTCAGTATTAAAAAAAAAAAAGGTTAATCATAGTTCTTTCACTAATTACTTGGATGCTTGTAGTCCACTCCTAGTTGGCTTGGCTGCATCAAGACTAAAGACACAGCTCCATGTATATCAAATATCATGGAATGACAAATTTCATCTTCATCTTTCATTATATTATACAGTCCTGAATTTTTCCAATATCTCTGATCTTGTCAAAACATTTATTCTAAAGTTTGAATTCATAGAACTTGTGACAAAAAGAATCATGTGAAAAAAAGTTAAAAACATGTTTAGAAAGAACATCCCAAGAGGGACCCAAAACGGGATTTGAACCTAGCTATAGAGACTAGATCTGGTAAATCAAAGTGTGCTGTTTATCTGGTTGTAATATCCAAAAATGCAAGTCAAGGTGTCCGGTCGGTGGAGAAAAGTAGTTGGCTGTTATCCTTTCTTATCGTCATTTTCCTCCATTTTTTGAATGATAGATAGATGGGGCATTAATAATTTGATTCATATTTCTTCTTGGTAAGGGTCAAATTTCATGGATTTTTTAGCCTAAGATTTTCAGTAATTGAGGTTCAAAATAGAATGCTACTTTAAGTCTTTCTCCCATTGGTGGTTCAAAATAGAATGCTACTTTAAGTCTTTCTCCCATTGGTTCATTATAGTATAGTGAAAGAATGTATTAGGTTAAAAAATGTTTTGAATTTTTATAAATAAATGTAACAGTTGATGCATCTTTGATTCATGAATAAATGATAAATAATTTATTTTTAAAAAATAAAATGTTACTTTTTCGTATTATATAAAATTTTTAATTAATTTTTTAATAACTAAATTAATTTATAAAAAATATTAAAACTAAATTAATAAATTATTACAATCATGTGAACAAATTGAATCTATTAGTTGTAAGAGGGCCGGATGGTATCACGTGTCATATACAAAGGCAGGAACAAAGTTACAAACATGCCCCCCGAAAGAAGCAGAGATATAATTAAGCTTAAAAAAAGAGTTATTAATTGTTAATTGGAATTAATAAATGTTAATTAAACCCAGGCAGCACCGACAGACATTGAGAGCAATACATGGCTTTTAGGAGTTGACGCGTACGACCAAGGATTCGACCCAAGTCCACGCTGGGAATGTACGGCTTCTTCAAAGCGTGCCATTCATTCCCTTAGTATTTCATATACAGATAAAGGCGCATGGTTATACATTGTATATTTAAAATAATTTTAATAAATAATTATTAATAAAATTTAAATTTAAAATTTTTTTATTAAAAAAATAATTTTAATTTATTAAATTAATTATTTATTGATATTAATTAAATTTTTTTTATCTTAAATATCATTTAAATTAAAAAATTTGGGCACCTTTTAGTATTTTTTTATTTACATAAAAAATTATAATTTATAATTGCAAGGATTTTGTTAAGAGTGTCTTAAGAGAATTTTTAAAATTACCATTGTAAGAAAGTATATTTTTTCAAAATATTGAAATTATCAATTTTGTGTTTAATATAAATAATATGATTAGTATTTTAACTAATCTTAAAAAGTGCGTAAATGTTGTCAATTAATTTATTAATCACAACGCATTAAATAAAATAAAAAATAACTTTTAAATAATTTTAAAATTAATAACCAATTATTATAAAGAAAAAAACTCAATTTCATGAAATGATTGTTGCTCAGTTGCTGTTTTGAGCTTTGATCAAATAAATTAAAGTATTAATAAGCTTTGGTGGTGGGAAGAGGACGACGAAACCAGCTTACCAAAAACTCAAATCCTTAAAACCCAAAACGACAGTGCAAGTGTTTGTTGCCATTTGCCACAGCTAGGCGCTGATTCCAAAACTTTAATAATTTCTATTGGATCTCTCCTCTACCTTTTTGTCCGTCAGATTGACCCTCCTTCAACGAAAATGCGTCACAGCCACCACTACTCACACCGTCGGGGATTTCGATCGATATTACCACTACTGCCAGTCTGCCACTCCTTTTTGCCGAGTCAATAGTTTCCTTATCCAATAATAAAAAGAAAATTCATCTTATAAATAAATATAGTTGGTAATAGAAATTTTCTAATCCCACAATTTGCATAGGAATGCCACTTATCTATTGAACAGTAACTAAAAAAATTAATATATTAAATAAATATGTGTCAATGCATTTATATATTTGTAAAAAAAGATATAACGATAAATTTTAAAACAATAATAGCAGTAAATTGCTTTAGACGTTACAACGATAAAATTAAAATCGACGAATAAATAAAATATATTTGACAACTGAAAATCTATTATCAAATATGACCATATATATATATAAAAAAAAATCTTTTAAGGATCTTGCTGATGACAATTGGTTTATATTTTTTTTGTTTTTTTAAACTGTTTTTTGTTAACAGGTGTATTTTTTTTTTTTGTGTTTGTTTTTTCTTTCTTTTTTAACATGTTTTTGTTGATAGGTATGTTTCTTTTGATCCTGTTTTATATGATTTCGGAGAGAACAATGATGGCGCAAAACTCTCAGAATTGGTATGTATTTTGCTTCTTCTTTTTTTTTTGTTTTGGTTTTAATTTTTTTGTGCATTTTTGCGAAAATTTTTAATTTGTTTATTTGGTAATTAAATATGAATTTTATTTTTTGTTTTTTTGAGATGATTTTGTATTACAGAATTCGATTTAGAATGATTTTGTTAATGAATTTTTTTAATTTTTAATTTATTTAAAATATTTGTTGTGAGATTTGTAACTCTTTGCTATCGTATGGGAATAGCAGATTAATCAATTACTGGAGATTTTGAAATTAATAAAGTAAAAAATTTAGAGTTTGGGCATTAAATTGTGTAAACGAACTTTAGTCAGGGAGATTTTTTTTGTAAAATAAAGATCGCTCACTTCTTGTTTCTCATTTCAAACAAACAATACTGTGTGATTTATTAAAAATATATTTATAATTACCTTTTATCGAGCCAGATTTTGGTCAAGTACAGCCAATGCAATAAACAATGTTAATTTTATATTAAATTATTATGTCATATTAATTATACATATTATTTTAATTTTTAATTTAATCAAATATTAATTTAAAAAAATTTATATTTAATAAATTATTAATATATGTATTTTATTATTTTACTAATAAAATAAATTAGATGTATTATTTTATTAATAATTAATTTTTTAAAAATATTAATTTTTATATATTTATTTTAAAAATTAATATTTATTTATTAATAAATAATATCATATGATTTATTAATAATATATAAAATTTATATATTAATAATATATCAAATATAAAATTTTTAATAAAATATTAAAAATCGATATAACAGACCGAGAGTTGGGCGTCCATTACTAGTTATATGGAAACCGATCCCTTACTCTTCAACCATTTATTTTGCTTATTTTCCCGTTTTATTAAGCTCTCTTCTGTTTCTCACAGGTCATAAGAGTCCTCTCAGCACTCGCATCTTTCTTTTTTCTGTGCAGTCTGAAGTAACATTCACTTGAGGCTCATTAAGCTGCCACACAAACAACATTTTCTCTTCACTTTCCCATCTGATATACTTCCGTTTCGGAGTTTCCAGAGTAGAGACTCGAAGGATTAGGCTTTGTCTTCAATGGCGGATATCGCAAAGTACATGCCTATCAATGGAGGAACAGCTGTCACTACAGACTTTAAGAATCTGTCTTCAATCATCAAAACAAGAAGAGCAGTGACTTTCTTCATGTTTGCCTTTGTTGGTTTCACTGTTTTTTTAGCATTTAGCCCTTCTTCAAACTCTTCCCCGTGGGTTACCAACATATTTTCAGCAAGTTCCACCACTGCTGACCCTTATAGATCTCAATTCTCTTCCCTCTTCGATTACTTCTTTTCCAACACTTCTTCTCCAATACAAAAACAAGAAGGCCTTAACTTTACTTCCTCTGCTTCTTCTTCTTCTAATAATACCAGATCTAATAACCCTGCACCTCAATTATCCAACCCAAAGGAAGGGCTACTTTCTGAAAAAAGCACCAACAAAACCCAATCTTTCAACAGAAATAAACGACTTCCCAGTTCAAGAAACTCAACTTTCCAGTCTTCCAACACAAGTATAATCAACACCCAAAGTTCGGCTTTGCATGCAAATCAGACCACAGTTTCTCCCAGTGTGAATAAAAATCCGCCTATTACAAGCAACCAGGGTGAAAAGAAAGAGAATTCTGATAAAGCTCAAGTTTTGATGGCCAATCAGACTACAATTGTCCCTGAAAAATCTCCCGTGGTAGCTAATCAGAGCACAAATTCTCCAGCTAAATCTGATTCTTCCAACAAGGTAAGTTCCGGGAGCGGAGAGAAAAGTGTACCGCAAAAAAGAGTGGTATCAAACCACACAGCTTCCCTGGCGAAGAACCAGGGGAACGGGAAAAACCAGGGCAATAGAAGTGGTTCAGGGCTGTCAGCTAATCAGGGGATCGAGAATTTGGTTGAGTCTTTGATGAATTGCGATTTGTATGATGGAGGATGGGTGAAGGATAATTCCTATCCGCTTTATAAACCGGGGTCTTGTTTGTTTATTGATGAGCAGTTTAGTTGTATTACCAATGGAAGGCCTGATAAAGATTATCAGAAATTGAAATGGAAGCCTAAAGGCTGCACTTTGCCAAGGTAGAAAAAAAATTTTATTTAAAATTTTGAGGTTTTGTTCATATTCTTTTTTACTGATTTATCAACCAAAGTTATATTTTGAGCATATTTGATTTCTTTAATGGAAATTCAAACAAATTTAGCAATTTTGGATTCAAGTTGATCTTTGAATTAGTCATATAGGGAATTTATTTAATTTTATCCGTAATCCGCACTGTTGATTGTATTTTCATTCATACATTTTACTTTGGTGCAATTGATTTAGTTTGGTTCTATCCTCAGATTCTATTTAAAAATTACCTGCAAATGGATTTTGTTTTATTTTTTATTAACCTAAGATTAATTCATTTCTTCTATAAAGATTGAATGGTGGTCACACGTTAAAGTTATTGAGGGGGAAGCGGCTTGTTTTTGTTGGCGACTCCTTAAATAGGAATATGTGGGAATCTCTAGTTTGCATCCTGAGAGGTGCTGCAAAAAATCCAGAAAATGTTTTTGAAGCCCATGGAAGACACTATTTTCGAGGGGAAGCTTCCTACTCTTTCATATTCAAAGTAAGGTTATTGTTAGTATTGATTAAAATTGTTCATTTTGTTACATATTGTAGGATAATTACTTAAAACTTGATGAAACTTACTATTTGATTTCCTTTTTTGGGGCGGCCTTGGATGATGATGATGATGAATAGGATTATAACTGCACTATAGAGTTCTTCGTATCTCCATTCTTGGTCCGAGAATGGGAAATGCCAGACAAAAATGGAACAAAGGAGACACTTAGGCTTGATCTTGTTGGAAGATCTTCTGATCAATATAAATCTGCAGATATCCTCATCTTCAACACAGGGCATTGGTGGACTCATGAGAAAACTTCCAAAGGGTTGGTTGATTATATTTCCATCTTACTTTTTACATTTTATGGTTGTTACTGTAATCTATTGGTTTTAATGATTATTTTTGTGTTCAACTACGGAACACTACAGGAAAGATTATTACCAAGAAGGTAGTCATGTTTACTATGAATTGAATGTTCTCGAGGCCTTTCGGAAAGCTTTGACAACATGGGCTAGATGGATTGATGCCAATGTAAATCCTATGAAGACTATGGTGTTCTTCAGGGGTTATTCTGCTTCCCATTTCAGGTAAAGGGAAATAAACTTGATGTTGTTTTCGATGAGTGAAATTATTTCTTCCCGCATAATTGTTTTGGAATTCTGCAGTCTGCACTGCATGTATTTCTAACCGTGTTTTTCCTTATTATTGTTTTGGAATTGTGTATTAGTTAAACTATAATATAGTATTTCTAGATGTTTAATTGGTGCTTGAATCTTTCTCCAGTGGCGGGCAGTGGAATTCAGGAGGAGCATGTGATAGTGAAACTGAGCCAATCAGGAATGAGGCATTTCTAACGCCATATCCACCAAAGATGTTGATCTTAGAATCGGTGCTGAAGAGGATGAAAACGCATGTCACTTACCTAAATATTACCAGATTTACTGATTTCCGAAAGGATGGTCACCCGTCAATCTACCGGATGCAACATATGTCGGAGGAGGAAAAAATCGCACCTCTAAAATACCAGGACTGCAGCCATTGGTGCCTTCCTGGTGTTCCAGATTCGTGGAATGAGCTTCTGTATGCTGAGCTCCTTGTAAAAGAAAACAAGATGCGGCAACATCAAAGGAGAGCTAGGTAAAATAAATCATACAAACTTAGATTTGTTTGAGTCGAATCATACATAGGCTGTACAAATTTTTCTTTCATTTTGAAACTGTAGAAACAAAAATAATAATAAAAAAACGATAAGATCAAATGGAGTGTTTTCTATTTTTTGTCCCTACTTATAAATTATGGGAGTTAGATGATAGTAAAATCGAGCCGACAATTCTTGGAGAAATCAATCTCTGCTGTAATAATTTTTCTCTGTTTATATAATAGACAACAGCGAGAATTGTTTTGGTTGGTGAGTTTTGGATACGGAAACTGTGTGCTTCCCTTACCAACCAATGATTTTTCTAGCCTCAAATCTACTTTGAGGGTTGTTAATATTCCTTATAATTTAGTAGTTTCTTTAATTTAAAAATAAAAAAATATATACAGTGGTTGGTTCTCTTTCAATATATAACCTTACATGTTTTTCTCTCATCTATTCCCTCTTTTTAGTAATCTGTTTCTAAAATCTGATCATAGTAAATCAATTTAACTAGACACAATAGTTCAAGATTTAGTCTTACTATTATTGTCTCTCTCCAAAATCTTTTCAAACACGGGATTGATTGGTCATTGTTTCAAGATAAGAGAAAGGGTCAATTGTTGAGATTTGATTAACTGATTTATTGAATGTTATTTTTTAAAAGTGATTGTATTAATTAATTAAATTAAAATTTTAATTTAATAGTATTAATTTATGTATTTAAGGTTCGGTTAATTGGTGCTAAGAGAAATTGTTTAAGATAAACTATAGTTAAATTCTTTTTTGTGTCAATTACCTCTTGTAGAAAGTTTGGGTCCTCGTCATCATTTGGACAACATGAAGGTTCGTTCTAACTTTGCAAAAGGGACCGACCATTTGAGGCTTTTTATAAACTACATGTTAAAATTAAAATAGATTAGGTTTAATAGTCTGATCTTTTTCTCACTTTCTCACATGGGATGTTTTAAGTATTGAAAATCAGAATGTGTATTTTTAATGTAGTTGTAACTTTGGCAAATTACCAATCATGTTTTTTTATCTAAAACATTTTAGTGTCATGTAATTATTTTAAACCCTAATTAATTCGAAATCAAAATGAATCAAATCTCATAAGAGAGTCAAACCCTCTTAAGTCTATTTTTTCGGTTCACAATACTTAAAATCAAAATTTTACTTAAATAAAACTAAGTTTTTTAATCATTCGGATCAATAAATATTGATTGCTTTATAATCATCCATTTTAATGTCTAGGGCTCTAAAATGTTATGTCACAAATTTCGATACCAAATTTTAAATGTTTATTTTTTAATACCATGTGACATAAAATCCAAACCTTAGTACAGGATATGTGATACATCCTTTTAGTAGTCATCAAAACAATATCACATGCTTTTTTTTTTTGTTTCTTACCCAAAAAAAAAAAAAAACAATATCATTTGGTCGAAGGGCTCTTGTTCGTCAGCGATGGGAAAATTTTAACCCGTTTTTGCGCCATCACGTAACGGGCTCATCAGTGTAGATGGGAGATGGCCCAACTTTAGGCTCCTTGGTCCACTATGTTCAACAGGTGGCCTAAATGGCGAGTTTCTCATTGATTTGAGTTCGGTCAGAACCCTAAAAATTAAAATGAATCGGGCTCCAATCTTTCTCTGATTTCTCATTGATTTCACACTTTGGCCTTAAGAACATGTGTCTATGATCTAATTCTCTCGCTATCAAAACATAGACCACTTTGCCAAGACAAGTTCACAACATGGATTCGGTTTGAGATCATTACAGTTTAAGGTTTTGGCGATCTTATTAATGGCAGATTTGTTAACCATTCCTGTACCTGTTAACTCTTACAATTAAGGTAGCAGCCTGTCTGTCATGGCAGATTTGTTGTTTTGCCCGTGTCATAATCAGGGGTTGAACTTGAAACACAAATGTTTTCGTTTTTTTTTTTTTAATGCGACCCTGCATGTCTCTTCTTTGGTTGTCAATTCTCAGCACCAACTTGTCTACAGCCATCATCTGCCATCACGTGGAAAGTTTGAACATTTTTCTAAGTTGCATTTGATAACTTACTAGATTCCGAAGAAGGGATTTAAATTTTAGAATTACTGTAATTTGTATAATAAAACACATAAATATATATTTTTCTAATTAGTTATACATATTTGTAAATTTAAAATTCATCTTTTTATATATTATAAATAATATATGTATTCCATTTTTGCAAATAATTGTGATAATTAATAACAAATATTATAACACTAATTATTAGGTAGCTTAAGCACCGTACTTGTTAATTATTTCATCAATGGGGTTAGGCTCTAAAGATAAAACTTATATAAAAATTTTTTAGGTAAAGTTTGTAAAGTTTTCTTTCAAAATGATTTAATAAAAACTTTAATAAAAAATCTAAACCAATAAATTGATAGAGTTTAATGTAAAAAAATAATATGTAAAAAAATTATAAAAATTATTGTTTATAATTCAAATTTAATAGATATTTATTCAAAGATAAAAATTTTATCACCATTTTTATTTATATATTTGTTTATAACATCTATTTTAATAAAAAGTTATTAAATTTTTTAAAATTTTATACATCTATATAAAAAAATCTTTTAATTTATTAATTTTAATTTTTATTTAATCATTTTTAATAGATAATTTCATCAATTTCTCCTCATCCCTTAGCTCTAATTATTAATTAAATCTTTAAGCCACGTAATACAGGTAGGATAAACATTACATTGTGCCGCCTTGCAAATAATTAACGTTGATATATTAAAAGAGATTGCATGGGCCTACTAAATATTCTCAAAAAACCCTTATTTTTATTATATTACGTGATTTTCTACCTAATTAAAAAATAATTTCACTAAAACAACTAATTAAAATAATAAAACGTCTCATTTGGACACGTTATGAGTTTGAAACCAGGAAAGGGGAGGATAGAATTAATAAGATAATAACCAAGACCTTAATGAATGGTATAGTAATAAATAAATCTCTAGAATTATATTCAAATTCAATACACAAGCCTTTAGATTACATTACGAATAACTATATTAATTAATTAATTATTTTTTTTCCTCGTCAGACAAAACAGGCAGCTTTCTATCAAAATTTCTTCCATTTCCGGTCCATTCAAAACAACTTTTTTTTTTTTTTCTTTCTTCTCAGCAACAAGAAAACTGCTAGAGACAAATTAAAAAATTCAAGAAAGGAAATAAAAGAAATTCCTCCAAGCCAAAAATATTTACAAAAATTGAAAAAAAAGGTGGTCAAATCTTTTGACTGGTCACATCCAATGATTTCATGAACTAGGCTGGTGGGCTTGGGGCAGGGTCACGTGTTTGCAGAGAAAAAGGGTACCCTCTAGTCTTGGTCAGTGGCAAGACCCCAGTTTTGGCATCCGAATTGCTGCCAACGGTGGCGCTGGCCGTAGGGACGTTGGTAGTGGCAGCAGCAGCGGTGGTGGAAGTGGTGGCCACACGCTCACATGAAGGACACATGGTGAGGGTAGTGGCAGGTAGCTGCATATAAAATGGTTGAGAAGTTTTCAAGGCTCTTAATTCTTGCAGTTCTTTCTGTAACCTCCTATTTTCTTCTGTCAGTGTCTCGCAGCATCTCTTTAAATACTCACAATCTACCTCCGTCTGCTTCAATTTTGTCCTAATTTTATTCAATCAAAAATTTAAAAGATAAGCACAAAAAATGTTATGGATATTATTCGTATTGGCATTTATCAAAAACAACCAGCAAATAAAAAATATATACCTTGCTCTTCTATTCTGAAACCATACTTCGACTTGGCGAGGACGAAGATTTAAGTGCTTGGCCAAGGCAAGTTTTTGCTTCTGAACCAACATTTAAAATAACAAAGAATTTTGAAGCAGAACCCTAAAACAACGAAAATAATGAAAATTTTTCATTTTATTTTGACTTACAGGATTGAGAGTGTTGTGTTCTTTGAAACTTTCTTCAAGAAAAGCAGATTGTTCTTTAGAGAGCCTGAGTTTCTTCCGAGTTGAACCGTTCTCATCATCATCACTGACTCTTGAACTAGCTCTTTCAGCTTCAACTTCCACTTCTCTCTTGCCTCCGTTGTTTCCGTGTCTAAGCCCAAAATCCATCTGAAAAGAAGACACGGCGCTGTTGGGAGATGACAGCGCCGCCCCTTCTTCCGCTTCATCGGCCGCTGCCACCAGCGGTAACCGGTTCACGTCTAGCCCTCTGCCCGGTGCTTCTGATGAACCCGTTTCTATCACCAATGTGTCGATGCAAAAGTTAGTATTTTCTTCAAGTCAGATGTTAAAAATATACATATAAATAATCAAAATCCAAAAATACCCAGATCTAAATATCCCATAAAATATCATTTTTGGTTGCAGAGAGAACTAAAAAAAAGAAAATAAAGGAAAGTTTTTTAATTTTCTTCATTAGGAAAAATGGAAGGTTTTTTTTTTCTTTTTGACTAGGCTGGAAACAAAATTAATAAATATTAGTAATATATTCTTAAAAACATGAAATGCAAACTTCAAATTTTTTTCTTCCATTTCTTATAAAAAAAAGATAAACAAAAAAAAAAGACATGAAGCTCGGAGAAAAGGGGTTAAAAATGCTTACGATTATCAGTGAGACAAAGAAAGCTAAGCTGAGAAGAAGGTTGGGCACGAGGAACAGGAGAGAAAGGAAGTAGATCAAGCTGAAGAGGTGGATCTGAAGAAACCCTTTTGTCATCTGCATCTTTAGCAGCTTCTCCTCTACTTTCACCTTCAAAAGCATCCCCTTTCTCTTGTGATATGAAGCCATTTCCAAGCCCCATGCAAAACCCTAGATCCTTGTTTGATAACTTTGGGGTTTTGTCAAGAAACGAAAAAGGCTTTGAGGGATCACCCAAGCTCAAAGCTAACTCCATTAACCTTTTCCTGCAAAGAGAACCCCAAAAAACAAAAACCACTCAAGCAAAGATGGCTTTGAATATCTTGTTTTTTTTTTTTTTTTTTTTTTGATTTGATGAAGAGATCAGATACACCCTGAAAAGAGAGTTAAAAAAGAAACCATATTCAATCTTCTTTTAATGTAGACACACAACCCACCACCCCCTTCCTCTGTGACACTCCTTTTTATTTCCGTTGCCTTGTGCGCTTAAAGATTGACCGACAAATCCAGGTTGACAAACACACGTGAATCTATATAAATATACACCGGTTCATACACGAGAGAGAGAGAGAGAGAGAGAGAGAGAGACTGAGAAAGGGATAAAGAGAATGAGAAACAGAGGTTTTTTGTTTTTCTCAGTAATAAAGGAGAGGGGTTAGAGCAAAATCTTTGGTTACAGTATTAACAAACAGAATTTGAATAAGTTTGACCTTTTAAAGAAATAAAATGAAAAGTGGAGAGGGGGGATGCTGATGACTGACGAGAAAAAGGCTTCAAGTAAATCTGTTTCTTTCACCGGGCACAAGGCAACAACAAGCTTTTATTTCTTGTTTTTTCAATTAGGAATGGATCTATCTACCCATGGCAGCACCACTTTCCACAGCACAATCCATTATTAAACACTTGATGGGAAGATTTTGTTAATTAATGTGACTATAACTTCAAAATGTTAGTGAATTATTGTGTTCTCACCAAACAAGGGCCAGAAATCATCATCATCCCAACACGAGAAAATGATTTTTCATCCGACGGCAGGGATCATCAAATGTCCTCCCGCCCTTTAGACCTAACCTGTTTTTAACCCCTTTGTCAAACTTTATTTTTCAATTTTTTGACTAAATTTTTGTTAATGTTTGATGATACGAGGAAAGAATGATTAAAATATGTTATTTACCATACATAATTAGCAGCATGGCCACTGCTTGTTGTTTTGTTTGTTTGCAAATGATAGCCGATTTAATCCAATATTTGCAGTTTCCGAGTAGTCGATTAAACATTTCTTCCAATGACGTACTTGAACGAAGTGTGACTCCTCGAGGAATGGGGCTGGAAGCCTGGCAATGCTGACTCACCAACCAAAACAGTGCACCTACAGCAGTTTCATCCTAGGTGGCATTAACGAATTGGCTGAAATGATCCAAATACACCTCCTTTTGAGCTATGCCTGATGTGTGAACAGAGAAAAACATTGGGAAGAAAATCAAAAACAAAAAGCAATTTCTTAGTCAGTTTGGAGATTAGACTGAGATTTTGACCAAAACTACTTTTTCTATGTTCAATCCAAGCAGACAAAAAAGACCATCTTTTACTATTCCAAAGAAAGTTAGTACGGTGTATATAAATTTGTATAATAACAAAATAAAATTAAAGGGCAATGTTCTTTTATGTCTTTTGAGCAAAAAAAAAAAAAAAACCACCCCACAATTGGGGTGAAATTTTGAAGGTGATGGAAGAGCTGAGCGTGAGTGTGGGGTGGGTTGGATGTAATTAAAATACACATATAGAGGATATGAGGAGGTCAGATATATCATGCTTTTGGGATCATAGCAATAATTGAAGTCATGCAGGCTTTAATGATAATAAGTTGGAGAGAGAGATAGAGATGAGTGAATTATTGGGTGGGTAAATTAAAGGAGAATGACCCGGGAGAAATCAAAATATTAATCAATAAAATATTTATATTTATTGCACATATTATCCCCTTTCAAACAAGTTTGAGGCAAACGGTCTCACCAATCGAATCAATTTGTCATTGAAAATAAACAAAATGTGAACACTTGCTGTATTATATATATATATAGGTTATTAAGAATATAATAAAATGTAATTGAACATAAATATAATGTGTGGATTTCACCCATTTAATCATATTAATTTTCTATTTTGTAATTGATAAAAAGTTTAGCATGCTAATGCTGGTTTTCTATAATAATAATTAATAGATGTAATATTCAAATAACTTCTCAATTTTTATTTTAAATTACAAACAAATTATTAATATTTTATTACATGAAATTAAAATTATAAATTTTATTTTATTATAATTAAAATATAATTATATAAAATATGTAATTTTTAAAATTTTTAATTATATAATTTAATTTATAAAAATACTTACTTAGATCCATTTAAATGAATTAAATAACATATATTTAAGAAAATACTATTTTAAAAATTCTATCATTTTGATATTGTTCATTTAATTTTAAAATTTAATGAGTATAATTATAACAAAATAAAAGTTTATAATTTTAATTTTATGCAATTATAATTATGACAAAGTTCTGTATTATTTATTTATTTATTTATGATATATAATATAAGAAAATAATTTGAAACAATAAATTCGAAAATATTAGTAATAATGTGATATAGAATTTGGAAGATAGCATACTTAAAATTACCCATTTACTAAATGTATAATCCATGATGGAAAATTCGTATATGTCCAATCAAATAAAAGCCACAGTTAGGTTGAAAAACATCAAAATTTTAGTTGATTTTGAACTACAATTTATATTCAACATAAATCATATGATCACTCGGTCATCATCTCCCTCTCTTTCCATAGGAAGGCTCACAACTTGAACAACATTCTTTCATTCGTTTCTATCATCCTCTCACTTGTATTAATTCTCAAAGTTAGCTGAAGCAAATGTCACAGAAGTACAGAAAAGAAGCAAGGGTGAATTGGCTCTAGGGTTCTTAGCTATTTTGCTCAATAATAGCAGTGCCAATGCTAATAATTCTCAAAATTAGCTATTTTAGAAAGATATCTTGTACTAAATATCTCTTACAGCATTTCTCTCTTTAGGACATTATCATTACATGTATTATTATACGGTAAGAAAAATCTCCCAAATATTTGACCAAAATAAATAAATAGAACATTGAATCCTGTCTTTGGTTAAGTTGTCCATTGCGTCCAATAAGAAAATTATATATATATATATATAAAGCATGTTTTTTCTTTTTGTTATATCATAAGGACAAAGCCCTAATACAATTAGGAGAAAAGGGATAAGTTTGACTTAAAACCAAAGGTTTGATGTCCTTTAAACGCCTTTAACCACTAGACTAAAGGCTTAGGGACTATATATATATATATATATATATATTTATATATATGAGATATTTGGGAAACTTAGAAATTGATCATTGCTCATTTGCTTGACACTTTAATTTCTTTTAGTTCAAGAGTATCTTTTAATTTAAGCATAATTATTTTTCTCAGTCAAAATGCTCTTTACAAAAATCAAATCCAAATTGATAAGGAAAGAAGCTTCTCTCTTACTAAATGCACTAATCACTGTGAGTTGCTTGAGGCTTTTAATATTGAGCAATATTGCTTAAATCAAATGATTATTACTCAATACATCATCAATCAAATTATTACAATTAGACTTAAAGAATAGTTAAAATAATAAAAAATCACTAAAATTTATTATTTTATTTAAATAAAAAAATTTATTTTTATTACATTCAAATAAATTTTTAAAATTTAATTTGTATCCATATAAATTTTTATTTTTTAATTTATATCTAAATAAACCCTTAACATAAATTAATTTTTTGTTTGAAATAAAAACATATTTAGATACAATTGAAAGAATAAAAATGTATTTGTGAACAATAAAAGTATATAGATTTAACCAAATAAAATAGTAAAGTTAAAAATTATTTTAAAATTTTAAAATAGATTTAAAAAATAATAAATTATTTAATTAGTAAGTGAGCATACAATAATCTACTAGTAAAATTAAAAAAAATTCATAATTTAAGTGTAAAATAAAATTTTAATTTTACAAGAAATTAAGAGAAAAGCAATGACAAATACTCAAAAAAAAAAAATTTATGCGTCTCAATCGAATTATTTAGACAATTTTATTTTTTTTCAAATTCTTTTAACATTTATTCTTCACGGGCAACGTGAATTCTTTTTCCCAATTGTTCATGTTAGTTAAGAAATAAATGAGGCTGAAATCGCGCAACCAGCTCATTTACGTTACAGAATAGGAACAATGAAATATGAATGTACCATCATCTACTGTTTTACATATGCAAAATAATTACAGTGAACGGGCCCCAGTTTTGGAAAATCTAAGAATCATTCATTTCACACAGATTGTACAACGACGTGACAACCATACTTTCTTTTTCCTACGTAATTCCAAAGTCCTTTGAATATTAAAAAGGATATGTAAATTTGATCATTTATATATTTTATTTTATAAAATATTAATAATTTATATATTTAAATTATTTTTTAAATAAAATAATTTATTATAATTTATATCGATATAAATATATATTTTTAAATTTTATTAAATTTATATATAATTTTTATTAAAATTTTAAATTATATTATTTTTATACGTATTATTTTTATATTATTTTATTATATCTTATTTTAAATTATCAATCTACCTAAAAAAAAAGGCATCAAGCGATCAACAAAATCCAAGGGTGGGCTTCTCCTACTTTTTTTTTTAAATGACCACTAATAATTTGGGTTACGTCTTCTGCGTCTAATTAAGAATGTAATTAAGCAATGGAAATTTCAGGTAATTTGGATCTTCCCTTTAATTCTTCAATAATTTCTAAATAAAACTTCAACTTCCTTATCTTTATGCACCAATGTATTCAACTTTTCACTAGGCAAAGCAAGGATCTAAAAAGATTTTGATTTTGTAGTATAGTATGTGTCATTTTGTTATAAAAAGTACTATTGGAGTTTTGAGATGATGTTATTTGTTTGGAATTTCTTTTTATGATATGCTGAAATTAAAAAAAAAAAAATTAACTTACTTTTTGTTTGCATTTCACCAATAAACTATATATAATAAAAAATGAAAAGTTTGATTAGATTTACAAATTTTAAAGAAATCAAAGATTATGCTATTCGAACTTAATTTATATATAAAAAAAAGGGGACTTGATCAATCACTTAGGTTGAAGTTTAGCTCAACAATAAATTAGTTAATTGCAAATATCAATCAAACATAAATTTTTTTTGCAAGAAAATAT